AAACCAGGTAGCTGTCTGGCGGAAGTCTGTGGACTGGAAGGTCACGTTTGTGGAGATCTGGACTGTGTGAAGACCCTAGAGAGACAACACAAGCAATTGACGATACTGTTTGGGAATGTCGCGATGAAAGCAAGGACGGAAACGGAACTGATCGCAGATTGCCATGGAGGAACCGAGTTGAACCTAGTGACTGCACTAGGATTCTACAGCATGTTTAGTTCTTTAGAGTCACTATTGAATCTAGAACAGAAACATGAGATGGTCACAGCCATCAGTGTAGAAGTATTCCCGGGAGTTCTGCAAACCGAGCAGAAACACATAGGAAAATGGAGGGAAGCGATCGAGGCGGAAATGAACATCAGACACAGTGAGACTTATTGTAGACCATCAGGAGCACGATATTTGGTGGGCTTGACATTGGCTCCAATGTGCAAGAGCAGATACCCGGTGCATTTCGTAGCTGTGGATGTAAAGAGTACGAGAACGATCGTGGATCAAGCCTTCTCAGTGCCAAAGTGTGTGAGACTAACGAGAATGTCCGAAAAATCTTACGAGTTGCTATGTAAGATGTTCTCAGCAGTTCCAGAGAGAACAAAGGAGGAGTTGGAATCGATACTGGGAATGAAGTTCATGGGATACGTGAGTGGGAACTTCAGTGACTTTGAGAGACAAACAGAGAGGATCAACTGTTACAGATTACAATACAGTAGACGAGAATGATGAAGACCACCGAGTGATGATGGAAGTGGAACCATTACTGGAAGCTCGGGAAAACGCAATTGGAGGAGCGTCATGTTGACACATGACGAGTTTCCCTGCCACTGCTTGCTGCAGACTTGGTAGTATCCCAAGCGTAGTAATCTGGTGTTGATCCGCTCTCCATGGGTTTACCAGACTCATCACAGCCCATAACAATAGTGATAGTGGGAGTTATGATGGCGATACGATGGCTGGAAGCTCACGTAAGAGAGAACAATAGACAGGAAGCGCCAACGAGGGAACAGTTGCGGAAATTGGATTGTCTGAAAGATTTAGATCTTTTTGAGACAATGTGCAAGATTCTAAACATTCCGATGGAAGTGAACAAGATATGGGCAAGAAGACGATTGATGCCATGGTTCAGAGCTAACATGACTGCATGGTTGTACAAATATGCTAAGAAGCATACGTCGAAGCACGGCAGAGTGTACAGTGAATATCAGCTGGACATTGGAGCAGGAGCTTTCAAGCGAGCTTTCGTGACTTATCGGGATGCAGTGACCACCGCTGTAAAGAGAATTTCCAGGACGAGTGAACGTAGTGGAAAGGAGAAGGAAGAGATGTTGAAGGAAGATTTGGAGAGAAACGTGACGTTGTGTCTCCGCAACAGCTTCTGCCGAAACAGAGAATCTAACGTGGATCCCCTACCTTGTTGCAAACAGAGGGTAGAAGAGCAGAAGTGTTGGAGGAATGCTTCCAACAGCGTCAGGATAGCTAACGATGTGTTGCAAGACACAGAAACTGAGAGTGCAGAGTCAGTGTCACAGGAGGAAGAGATGGAACATTGACAAACGGTCGAAAGAACAAGAAGCAAAAAGAAAGAAAATTAGAAGAATTTAGAAGTTTTAGAACTTCTAAACGACGAAAAAAGAAGAAAACAAAGGAGTGACGAAGAAGAAGAAATTAAAACTCAGAATTGTTTTATGTGTGTGAAAAAACTCAAGTGAGAAACTAAGCAACCAAGTTGTAATTGAAAACTGAAACATTTAGTTGATCTTTGAACATTAAAGAATTTGTTGCATTTATAAAATTGCATTTTGATTTTAGTTAGTGGCTTTAGAGACACTTGCTTACTATTTATTTAGGAAGGCTTGAGTAAAGAGTATATTTAAATATTCCAGCCTGCATGACTGTTTTTAATCAACTAGGAGAACTGATCACTTTGTGGTGATATGAAAAGCTTGGGTAATCTCTCGAAGAGGGAGATTGTTTCATTGTTCTTTCTAACCACAGAGTTTCTTAGTTTTAATATTCAGGACAATCACAAGCAAGATTTCCGAAGGGAAGGAGCATAGTAGGAGAATTTTAGCTTGTTGGTTGGCAGGACTGTCCTGCAAACCAACGTCTTTTAAAAATCTAGGAGAAGAAGTTTTTAGTCAGGACATTGACATTGGAAGTCAGAAAAGATGTTTTTTATCTTAGGTCATATCCTCAATGTGCAGATTAATGAAAGAATTTGAAGGCTATGGTGATGTAGTATGATGCCATTTATATTCTGCAGTGAGTTGAGTGACGCGGATAAAAGTGATTTCGTGCATTTTGTAAATTCTGTTCGATGACACTGTACCTATTTTACGAACATTGCGAGATTCAATGAGGACATTGACCGGACTGTCCGGGGAGTATGTGACATTCGACCAGAATGCACCAAAATGCAAACGCAGCAATTTCGAGTTAGTAGCAGCGAACCTTCCGAATTGGCGATTTTGAAGGAATAAGAGCGTTATTCGAACGATTGGACAAATCGGGAAGGCTGAAGGATTTGGAAATTCCTAAATTTTAACAACTCTAAGAAACGTCAAAAACGGCCATTTTAGAGAAAAAACCGAAACGAAACACAACAACATTAGTTGCGATAGCGATAACGACGAGAATTGTGATTGGAAAACAACAACAAATTGCAGAAGTAGCAGAGACCGTTCCGAGTTGCAACTATTGTGTCGCTACAATAGTTGCAAGGCCGTTGCGAACAACGGTGAAGGGTGGAAGACAGCCTTCCGGAAAGAGAATAAGAGTCTTATTTCCCCGGATTCAAGAATCCGGAGGGGTCTCGGGACTGGAAATTTTATCATCTTATATAAACTTTTAGCTTCCCTATTATGTCCTGAATTGAATTTAATTAACATCTGAATTCATTCTGCTAAGATGAGAAGCTAGGAGTTGGGGGAAAGGGTTGATCCATCTTCGATGGAGATGATGATTTTTATCTACTGAACAAAAACAATAATAATTCAATAAATAGTAGTAGCCCTGATTTTAGGAGTGACCTCGTGGTCTGGGAATACTGAGACCCAGCCATGAGCTCACTATTTCTGCATGTAATTTAGTTAATTTGAGTGTTTTGACCGAAGCCGAAAGCAGTAACGTTTTTGTCGACCCGATGTTAGAAAGACCACCGAAAGTACTGGCTTGGTAGAGACGGTGAAAAGCATGTAAAGCTCTGTTCAGACGTTAGCCAGTCGTCTTAGGACCTAGTTTTATTTTCCGTCGATATGTATCTTCCGGGCGAATGTTACAATATTCTACCGAACCAGAATTGATAACTTTAATAGTTGACGAAACTGCAGATTTGAGAAAACAACTGTGATTTTGTTACACAAGTTATTTACAAGAATCAATCTATGTTCTGAATTGATAACGCTTGCTAGTCGCGACCACAATCATCAGACAAGTAATAAATCATTGCACATTAATAGACAGAACAAAAAAATGGAAGCAATTTTTTCAATAAACTTATTTTTTTCAAAAACTTTTAAATTAATTTTTCAAAAAAATTAAAACAAAAACTCCGCAAAAAATCTTGAATCAATTAGTTCTACCAATAGAGAACTAGAAATGGCATTCACGAACTTATTAGAAAGCTGAAAAGAGTCCATGCTATGGGAATTAATGGTCCAAAATGCAGAATGTTTAAGTTTAAAAACAAACAAGTCCCGACAGGATTCAAACCACAACTTTTTGTCGTCTCGCATAAGTGTTTTACCTTTACGCCACATGCGGCGGATGGATTCCAATTAGAAACCTTTTTGATAGTTGAAAAAAAACTGACCAAAAAGTATGCTTCTTGTTATTAAAAATCGCCCAGATAGTTTTAACCACACTAACTTCCTCAGCTGAAGCAGAGTGTACATTTTAATAGCCTGCTTTTTGTCCGAAATGCAAAAAAAAGCTACTAAGGAATGCATCAAAACTTGTGTGAGTGATTTGTTTGTGTTAGGTACTATTTGTCGCCATTTAAGGTATCCTTTAAAAATTCTTTGCCTTTAAATTAATAAAAGTGCTTTCTAAATCAATTAAACTGTCATTGCTGGATCAGACAGCTTTTTAGGCATTACCAATATTCTTAGTGAAACAGGCCTACTGGAAAACAGTTTTCTTTGAAAAATGACAAATAAAAAAAAGTTAAAACAAATTAAACAATTTTCAAATTTTTCTTCAATTTTCGGAGTTTTTTATTCCTAAGACGAGAAATTTCAATTTTCGAAGTTTTTTATTCCTTCGCGCTCTTCGGGAGCTTTATACTACGTATAAGGGGGTGCAGATCGCGGTGCCAAGTTTAATTTATCGACAACTCTATAAGCGCTATTGTAGAGGAAGGACGGCTAAGTTAAATTAACATTATGACAATGCATTTAATGCTGATATATGACTTCATTGATACAATGATACAATCTGCTGATATAGATATATTCATTTTTATAACGCTGGTATGGCCATATCCAGCTTGTGCACTGACCGTAACTAAACAGAAGGGCCCTTTTTGTAATTTACACTTTTCCTAAGACGAGAAGACTTATTATAAGTAGAAAACTATTTTACTTGATTTTTCAGGGCTTGAATCGAAAATTTATGGATTATTTACTACTAATCTGCGACTATCATTCTATATTAAGCCTATCCTTCCATAATAAGAAATTGGACGAAAAATCAAAAATTTCACTCGACACTGGGTTTTTCTCGACGAGGAATTTTTTTTGGAAATTTTTAAATATCGTTCGAATCACGACTGAAAAGGATTTAAAATGACATTTCACTCAACCCAGTCTGATGATTATTTCTGGTACCTGATTTTGCATGGAGACCAAGAAAAAACTACAGTGCACCCGAATGCTAAGTTCCTTCAAAATTTCAATGGTCGAAACAAAACTGGCCCATGTCAAGTCCCATTTCAGGCAGCTTTAACTATTGTTTCGAAAATCTCACAATTTGACACGTTTGATAAATTCAATAAAATAAATTACCTTTCTATCTCCACCGAGAAAATCTAGACCACCTCCGTCTTCAGATGCAATAGACATTCTGAAATAACAAAAACTTGCAGCAAACAAAAACTTGCACCAAACAAAAACTTGCACTGAAATAACAAAAACTATCATATAAATGGGTGCAGGGTACCAAAGAGGACAAGACATTCAAACTACAAACCTAAAAACATTAAATTTTTCACTTTTTCATTTTTTGATTAAATTGATGCTTAGACAGAGGCGAAGCGGAGCTTCGCACCACTAGCGATACAACACCAACAAACAAAAAACATGAAAAGCCGAAACAAATGAAAATTTTTGAAAAGGTAGGTCATATACACATTCATTCATGTCTCGATAGAAGTTCATTCCAGGCAAAATCATGACACTTGATTTTCAAATCAGCAACAACGGAACAATATTTACGAGAAGAAACACAACCGACAATCTATGAGCAAACACAAGTTGAGCCGAAAAAAATATCATTTTACGAAAAAATTTTTAACTCCCAACTTAATCAACAGTGGACATCAATTGCACTTGCAACAACAATGAAACTTGTTTAAAGCAGAAGAAAAATCAGTGATGTGGAAAAAAAATTGGCAATCTTTTAGCTGAAACCACTTGAAACGAAAAAAAAATGATTTTAGGACTTTTTAAAAAATCTTTCAAATCCCCCTTGAAACTAGAATGAACAGCACCTGCACTTGCAACTACAATGAAAAAATATGGTATTACATTCAAATCAATAAAACAAATAATAGAAAACACAAAGAAAAATTTATAAAAAGATTAAAAATTAAAAACAATGAAGTAGCTTGCCGCAAAAAATCAGTGATATGGCAACTAAGCAGACCATCTCTGAGCACACACCAACTGATCCGAAAAAAAAGATTAAATGAAAAAATTATAAATTCTTTCAAGTCTCCCCCTGAAACTAGAATGAACAACACTTACAGTACAAGCAAAATCCGTTGTGGCAATTTAGCCGACAAAACCAACAAGCAAAAACTAACAATTAATTTTCTCGGTTTTTTTTCGAATTTCCTTGATACTGAAAAAAAAAACCGGTGCGTTCACGACTCGAACCCGAGACCTTAGGGTACAAAGGCAAATGATTGACCTCCAGGCAAAGGGGGGCGCAGGCTAGCAGATGTTCATAGATGAAAAGAAGAGAAATGAGAAGAAACTGACACAACAGAGAGCGTGTCTCCGCTTTGCGCACGCCATTGCTGCTCCTTTGCAATTCATCAAGTCCCTTAGTTCATCATTCTCGTCCTTCACTTCTTTTTTTCTTCCGATTCCTACTCTTCTGTAGTCAATCCCGCCACGCATCAGGTGAGCTTGAGTTGCAACTCAGTTCTGACATACGGCCCATCTAACAGAGCATTCGGGGTCGTCCTCATTCCTTTCTCCAAGCGACGTAACAGAACTGCAAACCAAGGTAAGCTTCCGATTTGGTCCACCGTTTCTGTGCATTTCCGAGAAAGCTTTCTGCTTCATTTTCGTGTCCCCGATAATGCTAACCAGACAATATTCCATGGAAATTTTCGTTTTACATAGCTAATAGATGTCCTCTGGCTGAGTTCCTGTACTTCCTCATTTCCATATATCCATCAATACAGTCAGTCAATCAATTTTACTCGACAGGGTTTAGCTGTCTAGGGACGCTTCCCTATTTTACTCGACAGGGTTTAGCTGTCTAGAGACGCTTCCCAAGAAGGTTTCAAGTCTTTGAGGATAATTCCACCACACTGACTCGGAATTTCTATTCTCAACGAGGATTCCAGATGCGTACAGTCACTCCTCTTGGTCTAATAACTAGCAGATCTTAGTCCTGCCATTGAAAAAATTTAATAATTGTTTCGTCTGTCATATTCAAGGTGCCTTTCGATCTCTCAGTGCTCTGTCCATTATCATCTGCATTCTCACCTCGTTTTCTTTTTTTTGCTAAGGTTGACGTCCACATGGGAGGTTCGGGATCCACCTTTGTTTTTCCAGACTTTTCCCCGTAACTTTGCTGCCCAATTTCATTTTGATATCGTTGACCTTCTTGATTACTAGTTCCGAGAGCACTGTCGCTTTTCTCGTCCTGGACAGATACCTGAAGTACTTCATCATTTGTCGCAAGTCACTTTGATTGGGAAATTCTTTTCACTCTCATCAGTAACAGAATTTATGAAAAGTTCACTCATTATCCCCGTGCACGCATTCATCCAATTTGCCGAGAATTGCTTTTATCAGTGGTCTATTCAGATTATTTTTCAATATTGATTGGCTCTATTGTCGCCGTACTTCCGACCAGACCTGTTCCATGAGAGCAACACGAATCAATGCACAGCCAGTCCTGCTTTCATGGTCACAGTGTTGAACCTCTCACTCCTCTTCATGTAGAGATCCAATCAAAGGTACTCGGGCTGTATTTTCTATTTTCTTTCTGCGAGGAGATTCTGTCAATAGTTAGTTTGTCGTTGTTTCAATTTTGTTAGGAAAACTTATTGTACATATTGTGTTAATAAAGTGTTGCCGAAACACTGTGAATTGCGTTTAAAAAGACTGAGGGAGGTTCCAGCGTGGAAGAATTGTCTTCCGCTGGTTCAGTAGTTTTATTCACCGTCTCCACTCCATTGTTTTTGTCGAGGGAGTTGAATCCAGATTTGACGCTCCACAAACTCAGTCCTTGTCTTTGTCGTCATTTCCGTTTGACTGGGATCTGGGTCCATCGGTTTTTCCATTTAATGATCCGACTCCTGCTCTTCATCCGCTCTCTTGCCACGCAGCTTTGATCCTGAATGTCGTTGCTCATCACTGACTATCACTTCAGCAGGGAGGTCCGACCATATCACATCGCCGGCCGAATTTTCATCTCGCTCTTTGTGCATTTAAACAACTTCTTTACAGCCAAACGTTGCTAGAGCATCTCTAGTCAACAACCTTCCTGTCGCTTTGAGTTCTGCTCTAACGTTTAGAATGATTAGCGCCGCTTCTTTAAGATCGAATCTTCCCTCACAAGGGTTGGCGCAATATTCAACTTATCCCATATCTCCTGAAATCTTCCGGGTTTGGGAGTTGCCTCGTCACTCGTCCTCCTCCTGGTCGATTCCTCCAAATATGCTAAACCTGTGCTTTGCAATGCTGCCCACAAAACATGGATCCGTCAAGTCGGAGAATCTCGCCAACCTTCTCCGTTTAGTTTCGTACGCTCTCAATTTGGCTGCATGCTCTGCGTAGTCTGCTCCGAGCAATTATCTTCTGATGAGAGATTATTCAGGTTTTTCCTCAGGCATTTTTCTTGAAATATTCGCAGTCTTCTGTTTCCTTCCTCATCTCTGGTACGCTATTAACAGTGTAGGGATTTTTTTTATTTCACCGTTTGTCTTGTCGCAGGATGTCAGATTTACAACTTCGCATATTGTTCGATACGACCTCTTTCCAACTCCGCCATTCTATCACGGAAGCGGTTGTTGAAGTTAATGGTTCTCATTTTGGGTTCAAAGACTCTTTCGAAAGGCATATATTTGCTCAAGGCCTCTTGCAGTATATTCTGCACACACCAATTGAGTGTGCTGCCATCTACTACTGAAATGAGGTTGAGGTGCAGCACCGACGTACTGTACGTTTCTTTCTTTCCTGTCAGGAAACTCAAATTTCACTGCTTGACCGTATATATCTATGAATAGTTCACGGACTGCCCATATCAAAACTAGAGGATCAATCCTCATAGACAGGCTCAAATCAGTGAGCGGTGGCATGCCTCCCACTTTGCAGCGATATTCTCATCTCTCTCCATTTTTTCATTCTCTCCCATTCTGAATGGATTCTTTTGTAAGAGAAACTGAATCGACGTTTGTCTCAGATCTCTCAACTTTGTCCAGTAGGCTGCAGCTCTTTGCAAATCGAGTTTCTTTACGTTCTTTAGCATTTTTTCTGGAAATTTTCTTAGGGTTATGAACTCTCCCAGTCTGTCGTATGTCATGGGGCGTTTAGCGTCAGCAGACCCTCCACTCGGAGGTTCTCTACTTCCTCTGTCAATCGCACAACAGGTCCTTTTCGGAAATTTTCTGCTCCAATTGTCACGAACAATGCCAGGATCACTACAACTGACAGTTCGGTGACTGTTTTCAGGAATTCTTGTATCAGGTAGTGAGATAATCCATGGTATACCTTCTAACAAGCTATCCGTTCTCGTATAGCCTTCTGTTTCTTGTACATTCTCTGTCCAGAACGTTTCCAGCGTAGTTCTGCTCATCTTGTCCACAAGGTCAGTATATTTTTTGTCTTGCCTGTTTCATTCTAAGAATTAGGGCCTCTAGGTGAGCTTCTGTTTCTATGGCCTTTTGTCTCGTTGTCGCTCCCTCTATAATTTCATTCTCGCGTACCAAAAGGTCGTTTGACAAATCGAAGATTACTCGTCGATCATCATCTGTTTCTGGTTTTTTTTATTTGTCTGTTGAAACTTGACAATTCCAATTCTTCCCCTCATTCAGCGCTAACATGTATGGCGAATTAAAATCTGAATCTCTTCATCCCGTGGAAAACATCAGACCACACTGTCGGCGTTTCCGTTTGAAGTGCTCTAGTACTTCTTTGGTTCCATTCCTGGGTTGATGCAAACATGATTACGTCGTACGTTTGTTCCGAGAGTAGCGCAATCATTGCATACAAATTTTTAACCCATCCGGAAAATGTGCATATCCTGGGGACAACACAAACACTGGCTTGGGAGTTATCTTCTATAAACTCCCTTTCTTTAAAAGGTCAATTTTTTTGCACAAAGCTTCCTAGATGTTCCTGACAGCTGGCTACACGGCAGCTTCAGCCATAGTTGGTTCTACTGTCTAGGAGACCTTTACTGTGTAGGTGATCAATGATGCCATTCGAAGATGATCGTTATCGGGTTCATTTTCGTTTTTTGCTAAGCTTCAATGGCCATTGATTTGAATTGCTTCCAACCAGATCAATTGCTGCCAGAATTATCATCTCCAGTCAAAATGAAGATGGGTTTATAAAAGTGTTTATGTAATCTGAGATCGCTATCAAGAGTATCTTCACCTTTC